ATATTTAGTTAAGACCATATGTTGCCAGAAGCTTTTCAAGTCCCATCAGCATCAATTTTATTTAAGTTGGAAATTAGATTCATTGATAGTGAATTTACTTAGGAATAATTAGGCACAAATTGATTCTTTTCTAGAAGAAGGAATTTCTCTATTTTCCCATATTTTTTGTGTTTTATGGATTGTTTATGTTCCCCAAGATTCACATATTGAAGCCCAAATCCTCAAATGGTAATTGAGATATCCCTCTCTTTCTCTGGAAAAGCCACCCAGGCTGAGATGTTTTGTTACAGAGATAAGAGAGTATTTTTTTTTAAATGTATTGTTTTCTATACATAAGCTCTTCATATTTGTATATGCTGTTGATCTTCTTATGAAATTATCTCATTATTTTTAATAGGTTTCAAACTGGTTATGTTGGACTTTTCAGGGGGAAAATTTTTAGAATCCCTTCTTCAAGAATTTAGTTTTTAATTTTTTTTTTGTTTTTTATAACCAGGGATTTTATAGCTCAGCCATTTTTTATATTTTATTTTGAGACAGGATCTTGCTGAGTTACTTAGGGCCTCACCTAGATGCTGAGGCTGACTTTGAACTTGCCGTCTTTCTGCCTCAGCCTCCTGAATCATTGGGATTACAGAGATGCACCAACGTGCCCTAGTTTGTCTAATTTTATTTATTTATTTATTTAAATTTTATTTTTTTAATGGTCATTACAAGTACTGTGAATTTTCTATTATTGCAAGACATACCAACTGTTGAGATCTGGAGTCATGCATTCATTCAACAAATCCCAAGCACTGACTAGAGGCAGACACCATGCTGGGACCCAGGAAATATAAAGGAAGAATTCCTGTCCTTAAGGAGTGTCAGACAAGCACATGTGAAAAATGAAATAGCCATGTCCAGCAAAGTCTGAAAGAAGCCTCACGACTGTTTTTAATTCACTGGATATTTCACAACATACAGAACAGACACCAGCTTTTGAGGATATAAATTAGGATGGTACCAGGGTAAGAAAGACATGATTTTTGAAACTTGAGTGTATATCATCCACTCAAAGCAAGTCAGTGGTTGGCCGAAATGGGTGTGTCTGATTTTTTTTTTTAGGTATAAATACTTTTTAAATAATATTTTATTGTTTTTGAGCATAGACATAAATATATTTATAGTATTTCTGAAATATTCATGGGAAAATATTAGTTGGACAGAACAAAGGAAGTCTGGTTGGGTCTATTCATAAGTTTCTTGCCAGGAGAATATTTCTTTTCTGGCCAGCTTGCTCCTTTGACACTCCAAATGTAGTTTTTGTATATCATTAAACCTTAACTGTTTGTTTCTTTTAGACACCACGTAGCCTGGGTCTTGAGGCACCCAGACTGCCATCTGCTGCTGCATGACCCCAAGTCATTCGTGTAACATCTCGTTGTCATAGGGAAAAATCATAAGGAACATATGGTTCCCATTCTACCAAGACTTTCATCTCATGCTGTTACCAGAAGGCTTAGAAATCCTGATTGGATGGGAAGGAGATTAGCTCTTTCCCTAGTGGAATAATTTCATTATAACAAAGGGGTCACCTCCCTAAGCTAAATGTGGAATGAATAATAGAAAGATTACAGATCATGAAAAAAAAACTAGAAAGGCTTTTTTTATAAATTATGACAAGACTTCGGGTAGGACTTCTTGATGTTTTGGAATAAATGCTTTAACATTTAGGCAACTAGATTGCTCTTTTTAATCCTCACTTTTCTCATTTGCATCACTTTTACACAAAAAGCGTTCCTTACCACCTGGCTGATATGTAGAACAAGAAGTATTTTCAGGGCTGTGCCACTACTTCTCTGCCTTGACAGAATGGACCTACTTAACCCTAAAAGTATCAACTAACTGAATCAGTATGACAGAAAAAGCTAAATCCTACCCTGACTTGAGAGCTTTAAGAGTCACATCAAGTGAAGAGACATCTCAATGGCTTGTTTTCTATGGACACCAGAGGCATTTTAGTAAACAACATATAATTTGAATTTCCTGGACCATTTATACCTTTATTCTTTTTCTTTTACTTTTTTATTTGTTCTTTTGAGATATACATGACAATAAAATGCATTTTAACATATTATAAATACATGGAGTATAACTTTGCATTCTTGTGGTTGTACATGATCTGTTTGTGAATGTATATATGAACATAGGAGAGTTATGTCTGATTTATTCTACTGTCTTTCTTATTCCCATCCACCCTCCCTTCCCTTCATTCCCCTTTGTCTAATCCAAGGAACTTCCATTCTTACCTCCCCACCCCTTTTGTGTGTTAGCATCCTCATATCAGAGGGAACATTTGACCTTTGTGGGTTTTTTTTTTTTTTGGATTGGCTTATTTCACTTTATGATAGTTCATCCATTTACCTGCAAATGCCATAATTACATTCTTCTTTATGTCTGAGTAATATTCTATTGTGTATATACATATATAACATTATCTTTATCCATTCATCTGTTGAAGGGAACCTAGGTTGGTTCCATGATTTAGGTATTGTGAACTAAGCTTATATAAACATTGATGTGGCCACTTCACTATAGTATGCTGATTTTAAGCCCTTTGGATATATGCTGAGAAATGAGATTACTGAGTCAAATGGTAGTTCCATTCCAAGTTTTCTGAGGAATCTCCACATTGCCTTTCAGAGTATATTCCTTTATTCTTAATAGATGGATGTTCAACTTTAATTTTGTCCAATGCATTTTCTTTGTGTAGTATTGAAGTGAGTAGAAGTGGGTTCTGCATTTGGTTTTATATACTTTTTTGCTTTATTCAGTGCACCTAAAGAAGTGGTTCTGGACCCCAATACCCAAAGGTGCCATAAACTCCCATACGTTAATATGTATCCAGAGAAGAAATTGTCCAATTAGCAGACACTGAGGCCTAGAGTAAGGAAAGTGTCAGATTCAGAGGATAATGTGATGGTTCCCAAGTCCTATTCTATGATATGGGAATGGGGAGGTGAAAAAAAAGAAAGTCAGGGAGGGAAGGAAGACAGTAACGTGGGGAGGGAGAAAAAGAAGGAATGAGAGAAACTACCATGTCATTTCTTTAAGTTGAAAATATTTAACTTCCAGCAATAGCTATTATTATAAATAGCTATTTATCTATTTTGGTTGGGATAAAAATTTATGTAATTTTGTAATTTTTTTTGTTGTCGTTGTACAAAAATTTCAGGTTCTTTTTACCCCTGGAAGCTATATGTCAGTCTCTCCTCACTGTGTTTGATTTATTCTGGTGCATAAATGAAGGTAACAGAGACCACTGTGTTGATCAATGATAATGAGAACCGCAGTCCACAAGGTGATTTAACCTCCTTACCCTGGTCAGTCAATGAGTATGAGGCTGGAAGCAAGCCATTTTATTTATCCAGTTGTTTTTCCTTATATGTGAAAATGTGCTTCAGTCTTGTTTGTCCAAATTCTTCATAGTTCAAAATACAGCTAACTATAGCCGATGCAGTTATTAGTCATGATAAAGTATTTCCATTTCCAAAAAGTCTGTTCTATAATTTCCCCATCGAGAATCTTTCCCATCTTTGGTCATGTGCTGAAAGACAACTTTTATAAGAACACTTGAGTACCAGAAAGAATGATACATTAGTAAACCTCTTGATCACGGTGGGGTAGCTGTTGCTAGATTAGAAGTGGTACTTGAGGCACTTTTATGCAACGTGTTAAGGTTATAGGACCTGAGAGAGGGAGAGGGAGAAAAAGAGGGAAGAGGGAGGGGGAGGGGGGAAAAGGAGAGGGGGAGAGACAGAAAGAAGAAGAAGGGAGGAGAGAAATCGTGTATTGGAAGAAGAGTCAGCGATGCGGCCTCTTCTCTTTCCCAGTTCTCTTCCCCTCCCTTCTTTTCATCTGTCTAATCTTCCAGAGCACTTCAGAATGTTAAGCAGAAACCCTGCCCCTACCATAGGCAGATGCCCAAGACCTGGAAATAAGTGAAGAGATCAATGGATCCAGTTTAAAATGCATGATATCAGAAATATGATCATATTGCAATGTGCTGATTTTACTCCCTGTCCCAGATTCTTACAAGTTAAAGAAATAAAATTTACAAAATCATAACATAGTCCCAGGTAACATTTATGAATTAACAACAAAAATTAAGATTATTATTTTTATAGCCAGTTGAGGCATGAAAAATTACTTTAAACACAGGACACATTTTTCTAAGAAAAAAAATTACTTAAAATACAGGACACATTTTTCTAAGAAATTAGTTACAAATCTAGATATCTCTCTCCTGGGAAAATCAGCTTACAAGTGAAGGTCATTTACAGTAAGAGATACTGGGGGAAAAAGTGAAGGGGAAAAATATTCAGGTCACTGTATATAAGTGTAGTTTCCTCTCAAAATTGTTCTTAAGCATAAACTTATTGCTTATTCTTTTTTAACCATAGTAGAAGGTTAACATATTTTTAAAAATCTATATTTTTCTATTTATTCTTAGAAAAAAACAGGCTAGATAAAAATTTGGGATTCGGTAGACATATACACGTGTGTGTGTGTCTGTGTGTGTATGCATATATATATGTATGTATACACACATATTTTGTGTATACATACATATATATGGACACATACACACACATATAAGCTGTGCATATAGTCTGAGTTATACGTAGATATTCAGTAAGATATTAAGAACAGAATGAGGAGAGTGTTTGGGAAAAGTATTAAACAGAATCACTTTGAATAATTTCAGCAGTGAGTCTATAGGAGTTAATGGCACCCGTGCAATAACCATTTTACCTCTTATTTTAGTTAAATAAAGTGTGCACTGGGAATGAGACCTTTGTTCCCTGTGTGTGAACGCTGCGTGTTCTTCCCAAGCGGGCCAGTTTTGTTCTCATGCCACGGGAGCAGGTGGCATGGAGCTGTTTTGATGAGGTTGCAAGGCTCCTCCCCTCTTTCCCCCAGCAGCAGCCTGAAGTACGTCAGCAGCGATTGTGTGCGCGGCTAGGCTGTGCGGGGAGGGTGGAGGCGAAATGGATATCAAATAAGGGTGTCAAACGGAGATCCCGATGTTCCCTTTAAGTTGCTGCTCATTTTTATTAGCCCCACCAGGGGTGAAAAGCTTTTAAGTTTCATACCCTCTGTAGTAAGGACAGTGTGTGTTGATGGGTGCACATTGTCCTTCACCGCGAAGACTGTATGAGTGCTCTGGTGGAGCTACATGAAGGGGCTTCTTCGCCCTCTTCTCATTTAATGATTTGGTGATCAGACTTCAGCTCAGTTAGATAAGAGAGAGAGGTTCTGCCGCCTAGATGTTAGCCCTTTAATGAGGATGGGAGCCCCCAGGGAGCCCAAATCCAAAGTAGAACGGTGCTGCCTTCGGGTTTCTGGTCATTTCTTCGGTGGCTCCTTCTCCCTTTTCCAGGGGGCCTAGGGAGCAGGAGCTGTCCAAGGTGCTAGAATGCCGGCGGCTCTGCGGGTCCAGGCAGGCGGAGGGCAGAAGCAGAGGAGAGAGCTTACCGCTTATTTCAGAAGGTAGGTTCTTTGTTTCAGAATCCCTGATTAATCAGCAGCAGCATCAACAGACTAAGGCAGCTGGAGAGGAGAGAGGGAAGCAGGGAGGGAGTCATGGGCAGGGAGGGAGGGAGTGGAGAGAGAGAGAGAGAGAGAGAGAGAGAGAGAGAGAGAGAGAGAGGAGAGAGGGGGGGGGGTTGTCACAGGGGAGGGACGTTGCCACAAGCTAGGCTGCTCCAACCCTTCAGTATGTAAGTGGCAATGAGAAAGAGAATCATTTTGGCCGAAAGGAGACATTTAGAAAGGATCTTTCTGATTTTTGTTTTCATTTATTTTTGTCTTCACAGAATATAATCAAATGAGGGATCTTAGCCAGCCTGGTGATTGCCTTGCATCTTGTAATCATCTGTGTAGCAAAGTGAGTAAAATCATCCAATTTCTTCCCGGCTGGACCTGGCAGGAAGGAGAGGGGCTGTGTGTTCATCCCCACCCATTAGCTATGCCCTCTTTTCTCTGAATGTCGATGTAAGGAAGCCAGCACCTGTCTTCTGCCACGGCATCTTCCTAGCAAACTTTAAAGGCCATTTTATGTGATAGGAAGAACATCAAGAACGCTCTCATCTCTAGTGATGAAGAATCTGGGATTCGACACTTTCCCCAAGCAGACACAATGCACTTTAATTGAAGAAAAACTGAGCTGAACTACAAGTCTGTCTCTTATGGTGCTGGATTACTCCTACAGAACTGCCCTGAGATCCGCCGTGAGAGGGCTCTGACACACAGAAGTCACCTTCTGATTATTGCACTTAGTTCTCCCTGGGGACTTAAATTTTGGTATGTATTTCATTTTTCCGATTCTCTAAGCATGCTGATTGAATCTAAAACTAAATAAATCAAGCCACCAGGTTATGAAATGGAATGGGTTTTAGTTAGGGATACTTAATGCTGAAGTTTGCATGTTTTATTAGGTGGAGCAGAAATAAAGCCAAGGCATCCATTGAGCCTCAGGCTATTTTTATTCCTTTTCCCACTGAGTTACATTACCATGGAAATGGTTAAATGAGATTTTCATTAGTAAAATAAGCCACGTTGAATTATTAAAAGCAATTGAAAATATTTTCCAGGGTATTAATTGGCATTCAAGTTGTGCATGCTAGCTCTTTACCCACTATTCCATACCATAAATATTTTACAACAGTCTCTGAGCACATTTGTGCCAGCACTGAGAAACCAATTTTGCATTCTCAAAAGAGACACAACACCACAGAAAAACCAAACTACCAGACACACACCAAACTGAAACTGCTTCTTCCTGCTGATCAATTCTAAACCTCCTTGAGAAATGTATTTTCAGTCAGTATCAGGAAGCTTTCATGAGTTTAAATATTTTCTGCAGAACTTTTGGTTTTACTTAGGACATTTACTTATTTTGTGGAAGAGTTTCCATTCTAATTTTTCCAACTACTCTTGTTGTAAAATACAAGAGATGCAGGTATTCCATATCTGGAAGAATTGTTACATTTAAAATGCTATTTATTCTTATTGGGAAGTCATAAAGTTGTTTTGGTATTGGAAAACTATTTTTTGTAATAAATGTAGTTTTATAAAAAGGATCTTCATTTGAAGAGGTTACATGTTTTAGTCATTTTAACATCCAAGAATTTATAACCAAGTACTGTGAAATAATGAATAGAAAGTAATAAAACATTAACTCCTTTCCTAACATTTCATATTTTAACCAATACTTCAATTTGATTTGTTATATTGTTAAGTGCTAACTGTGCGAATTAATGAGAAAACAGAAGCCATACATGCAGAAGTTACTTTGTTTCTCTGTGGAAAGTGCAACATATGCTATCCCACTCAGCAGGGACAGGAACTCTGTGAAGGACATAAGCAGTTGAGAAAATTAGTGAAAACAAACCTGATGGAAAATATTACAACTTTGCAAAGGACAAAAGGAAGTCCAAGAACTTGACGCATTTGTTAAATTTAGAGGGAGAAGAGGTGTGAAAATCCCAGAGAAAAGATGGTTGACTATTGTTTAAAATCCATCAATCAATCATGGATTTCCAATGCAATTAGATGGTTTCTGTTGTAGCTCCCGTCAGCAATTTATACAACAGACTGTATCTACTTTGCAGATACTGCCTTGTAAGCGTCTGGAATCCACTGGCCCAAGGCTCCAAAAAGTACCTTAGCCACTAGCACTCTGCACAAGCCCCTATCTTAGTGGAAATGTGCAATCTCTTTAGACCAGCGGCAGGCCACCATGACAACCTGGAAGTTAGGGGGATATTCGATTTGTGATGCTGCTCCATTTACATGCTTTATGCCCATTTTGCCCATTTGGGGAAGGGAGATAGTAGAGAACTCACTGCAAAGTAATTTGCTTTCTGAGAAAAAAGCAATCAGTGCCTTTGTAGTTCCTCAGCAAGCTTTCTTGGTTGTAACTTCAACATTTCCCATTTTGGGCAGAACAGCTGCATTTTGATGACACTGAGAATGAGAAAATGAGCATGACCATGTGTGGAGTTGGGGAGAGGATTTTGAGCATAATCAAAGTGGAATTATAGCACTAATGTTTTATAAGATTTTATCATAAAAACAAGTTTGATGTAATTTACACAGGTTATGGGTTATTACTAGACTATCTAGTCTGTTGATTTGATCCTACTGTGTGACGTCAGCAAATTTCAGAGATCAGTGTGCATATACATGTTACATATGTATATGTCTATGAAGGCTGATTACTTAAATACTTAAATGTTCACTCACAATGTGTTTTCAAATTGATCTTAGTGCATGCACAGAATGTACAAGAATCTTCTCTTCTGCTGAACAACAACAAAATTAGTCGAAATTTCCTTGGGAAACTTTTACTGGATCAATACTAATAGGCAAAATAAGATTTTTCTATCTCAGGGAAGATGCAATGATTAGAGTGAGAGGGAAAATCAAATTTTAATAACTCAAATTCTAATATCTTCCATACAGCATTAAGTCAGGTGTTCAAAAACTGCAGAAAAATATAAAGGACAGAAACTAGGAAACTTTCCCATCTGCAAATAAAATAAAAACATAAATATGAAATAAAGAAGAAAATGTCCATTGGGAAATGTATCACCTTGTATTATGGTTTTCATGCTTATTGAATAGTATAGTAATAGCAAAAAAATAAAAATAAATTGTTCTTTATTCTAGTCCTAAGATTATCTTGTAGAGTTAACTGTGGCCTAAAAATTCAAAAAGCTTCTTGTGGAACTTTAAGTATCAGGAAGCAATTTTCTCCCAAGCTAGAGTGTTTTATTCCCCTACTGCAAAGTACAGGTGGCACATATTCAGGTTAAGGGCGTTGTCATGACTCTATATCTTGAGAAATCAAAGTTTCAGATGGAGAACAACTTTATTTCAGAAATTCTGGGCAGAAACTTCAAAAACAAACAAACAAACAAAAAACCACAAAAAGGAACCATACCCATAAGTTTAGTGATTAGTAAACTCAGAAATGGTATGTACATAACTCTGCTCTTGGTAAATAAAAATGAAAGGGCCACAGTAAGACTGTGCCTGATAAGTCAGTGGACAAATCTGTCTACATCTGTCCTTATGGAGATAGAGTGGTTGATATCAAAATGCATGAAACTGTACTAATTGTTCTGAATTTTAAGCAAAGGGAAAAATGCTTAAATATATGTAAGAGGAAATCTGGCATGTGGATTTTTTTTTCTTTTTGTACATTTTTTTTCTTTACACAGCCTATAACATATCAAAAACTTTCTGTGATGGGGAAATTCAAGCTTGACCTGATTTGGTGGCATGTTCTATAAATTAAGACTACACTCAATGTATACCTTAATTGACAAAGGGGGTATGCCACACAAATGCATGATCTTTGTTAAATTCTTTTGTATACACATATTTCTCAAAAAAAAGCTCCCTATTTTTTTTTTCTTTTCAACACTAAGGATCATAGAGTACCTTAGGTTTTTGTATTCCCTGGATGGAAGCAGTAGCTATAGAAAGAAGATAGAAAGTGAATTTCATTTTTTTAATGTTTCCATGGATTCCATTCAGACACACTTAGTTTATGTTCCACATGTGTATGAAATGGGTAGTTTTATTTTTTGGGGGGAATAATTGTAATGTTGCTTTCAGCTTTAGGTTAATAACAGGAAAGAAGTATTTATGGCTTTGCAAAAAAAAGAAAATAATAAGGTTATTAACTCAATACAAAGTTAAATGCTTACTGTTCAGAATATGGTAAGAATCCCACCAGTTAAAATGCATCTTTGCTGAGTTGAGTGAAATTTATTATCTTGGGAAGTGGAACAAGGTATTCTTTGTGAAGGGTGTGGTCAACAGAATATAAGTAACAAAGTGAACATATAAAGTAAAATAAAGCTAAACTATTAGTTCTCCAGTTGAATTTAAGCCAATAGCTGTAGCTTTTATAAGAATGGCCGTGTTTTAATCTAAAAGTTAAACAACAGGATTGTCTCTTGAATGCAGAACACAACAGTGGAGGAAAGGCATAAAAGGACGATGTGAAGTGAGATCTGAGGATTTTGTGGGGATTCTGACCCCGTCGTTTTAGGTCCTTTCTCAAAAGAGTCCCTGACATGAATTGTAAATGTTGGCCACAAAGAAACAGAAACAGCACTGTACTCTTTGGATATCAGTATGGTGCATTCTAAAGCATAAAGACCACAGATACGTTTTTAACCAATGCTCCATGAGTGTAGAGAGGTGGGGCTAGAATCAAATTCACTTTGAACAAAAATGGCTGCAGACACATCCTGTTTCATTTAAAAGAGCTTCCCACCAAAAAACAAATGTTCCCCTTTAATCTCACCCTCTTAGTTTTTACTACTCCATGCAGAAATTAGAGGTCTATAGGGGCAGATTTTTTTTTTCCTGTTAAGCTATATCCAAATATTCTACCTGGAAGAGATGCCTCTTTTGCTTCTCATCAAGAAGGGTCTCCTATGATGCCAACTTAGACAATGGGTGCTAGGTAAGCCTTTGTAAATTGCTCCTTTACATGGAGCCTAAGTGGACTTGGTTTAATATCCCACAGCCACACTGCAGCCAGGACTTCCTGGTGTAGAACGTCTTTTACTCCACGCCCATCTCAGCCATAAATATACATTTCTGGGATGAACAGATTTATGATCCTGCTTTGACTGTGGATTCTTATTGGATCAAATTGTAGTTTAAATGAAGTCAACAATTAACATGAGGTTTGCTTTTCTTTAGGGAGGCCTTGAATCTATTCACTCAGAGATCATTTGCCTGAAAAATACCCTTTTGCTGGAAAGGTGGAGTCCAAGGTTTTGGGAGATGGAAAGAGTATTATTGTCCATAGGTCCCAGTGCCCTATTTTTCTAGAGGTAGACAAAAGGGGACAATGGATTGGTAGTCTGACCACAAGTGTTTGGCAAGTGGGGAAATAGATTAAAATGTATCTTGGCCTCCATTTGCACATATGTGTTTAAAGAAGTAAATTGTACAAAATAATCTACTCACCTATGTTTCGAAGCACAATCATTTTTACTTCGAGGAGTTATGCTACCACTAAATATAATCTTGTGGACACTTAAGAATTGGGAAAAGCATCTAATAATTGTGTTACTAATAGATATAATCATGTTTATTGAGTACATTTGCATTTTGTAACTGATCTTAAAAACATGAGTGAATTAAATACCATTGTTTTTTAAATTTCTTTTTAACGTGGAAACTGGAGCTTAAAGATGTCAGTTAACTTACACAAGTCATAGATCTAGAAACTCCTTGATTGGGATTTTTAGGGAAGACTTCCAGACTTCTCATCTCTGCCTTCCTGGACCTAGAGAACCCCACTATATGCACTGTACAAAGTGCATTTTGTATAGGAAGAAGTAAACAGGAAAGTGTGATTCGTGAACACTGAGAGGGTTCTAGTTCATGTTTGAAGACTACCTGTGATTATTGAAGTTTTCCTTGTTTATCTCCTCAAAAATAGAGACAATAAAGCACGCATGACCAAATAGTGAAGTTCACCTGGATCTGTGTCCTAATCACACATCTGTGCAGACATTGATGGTGTTTGTTTGTCTATTGCTGTGTGGACATCTAGGACAGAGTTCTGCCTTCATTAGTGCCCGATTAATCAACAGGTGCTCAACACCTCCCTGAATAAATGAATAATAATGGAATGGAATACTTCTCTATAATCAGGTCGCAGGACCATCTATCTTCATACTGTGAAGTTTTACTAGATGTTGTTAGAGTTTATTTTTATTTCAAAAGTTTTCATCACCATTTTCAAAACTTAATATCACTCTGATAGTCTAACTATTTGTGATAATATTATTTAATATTTATCTAAAAAAAATTATTTAAAGTCCAAGCAATTTGAAAGACCACTTATAAAGATAATGTTCAGAAGTAAACAATCAACCTTGTTAAGAATTAGACTATATAAACTATCAGAATAACTGGTGTCATCTGGGTTGGAGGAAAACTTTAGGGAAAAAGTAAAAACCTTTGGATAATAATGCTTCATGAAACTGGGAAATATACAGTGTTGCTAGAGGGTAGAGTGGGAGTGATCATTTTCAGCCTGAGGCATTATCTCTAGCATCCTTGTAATAATGACTTGGCTTGCTTAACTCCGGTAAAATTAATTGCCATAAAGTTGTGCTGATTTTTTTAAATCCAGGCATATCTCATGATGAATGTGGGGTAGAAGTAAATTTCCAATAATAGTAATGCTTTAACTCTCTAAGAAATATTTTTTTCATATCCTCTCCCTGAAATGACAATCATTTTTAGTAGTAATTTCCTCTTAATCTGGTGAACTGATATTAAAATACCATTCAATTACATTACATAGTTGGAATTAAAAGACCATTTTAAAAATGTCTCTATCCCACAACCCACTAGGGCTTAAAACCAAACAAAGTATCATAAAAGTTTAACATTGCCAAAAAATCATTAGTCTATAAACAAGGCCACCCTCCAGGTTAAAAAATAAATAAAAATCTTAGATCGTGGAGGAAATCCTTAAATTCAGGATGGGCTTCAAATACAGATTGGTTGTCCGATGTAATGCTAAGAAATTCTAATAAGAAGTAAAACTTCCATAGCTACAACCCTGGTTGTGAAACATGATTATACTTGTTAAAAAGTCCAGAATAAAAATGATTTGTGATGAAAATGCAGTCTGGGACTTTTACATTAAATAGTTGGACTGGTACTTTCAAAACACCCTTTTTATGATTTTTGAAGAAAATAAAAGGCATAAGCTAATTTAAAACTTTTCAATGCCTATCATTTTCCCCTTGTTAATTGGTTTTGCTTTTGATTTTTCAATCTAATTGAAACATACCTGTTTTCTATACAACAGTGAATATGCAATCAAAGACAGAAAACTTTATTAAAATAAAAGAGCACTCATTGGGATGTAATTAATTTAACTTTGCATCTATTTTTATTCGCATAAAGCACAGTTTCTCTGACCCCTGGCTTCAGTGATTGGGACAGCTCCTCATCAAGGCATGCTGCTTTCATAGCTTGTTTGCATTTCCTCCCTTCTTTCTTCCTTTCACCCGTCCCTCCATTCACACATCCACACTCATCCAGTTAACATTACTGTTGCTGCCATTCTTCTCCCTACACCTTCATTATGGCATGATCTAACTTGACCTGCACACTGTTGTTGAATTCCATTCTAAAATCTTCAATCTTCATCTTCTAAACCTTCATACCAGCAGGAGGTAGGAGTTATTACTACCATCATTTTATAGGTGAGAGTAGAATGGACTGATTGAAAGTTCGATGGTTTTAAATTTTGTTTTGTTTTGTTTTGATTTGACGTGATTTTGATCTCTCAGAAATCTGTAATGCCAGCACCTCAGGA